CTTTCATAGAGGTGTTCTGTTTACTATCACCCCAGGATAAGTCTCAAAAGGTCAGCTGAAGTTCAGAGATTCTCAATGTTGGGCTGAAGCCTTCATGAAAGGTAGACCAGTTTGTTATCTAAAGATCTATCATAGCCACTAACTCAGGAAACAAACTGGTGAGCCCCAGTGTACTTCGGGGCCCAACTGCTCCATCCTGGAGAATCCCAAGGGGGTATAAATTGAAAGCACAGGCCCTGGCTGGGTTTGCCAACAATGTTGCCAAACAAACTCAGATAAACTTGTCACAAGAGAAGCCAGTAACTCAAGAGATGAGAGTCTGGAAAAGAGGAAGAGAGAAATTTATTTGGGTGTGGGCAGCCTGGGGATGTGGCTTAAGTCTTGACAACTGACCTCTCCACCAGCAAGATGGACGTCGGAGTTTGATAGAGAGAGGTTCAGGGGGGTGAGTGCAGGAAAGCAGGCAGAGAGCATGTGGTCAAAGGTGGGGGCTGGTGTGTGTTCAGCCCATGATCATGGGCAAGGAAGGGGGTATGAGGGGATATGTGGGGCACGGTCTTCTAGGCATTCCATTGCTATCAGGGCTTTTCTGGTTGGATGGGTGAGATGTTCTGGGTCATTGTAAAATGCCTTCATCAATGCCTCAAGAAAGCGTGATAAGAAATAAGCACAACAGGTTTTAGTTAGAGCGTGAGTTAAGCTGTCTGGTCTGCTTCTGGTTTTAACTGTCTGGGTCTATCTACTGTTGAGCAACAGGGCTCACAGACAGGTTCAGAAGCAGTTTTAGGAGGGACTCAGAAACATCAGTTTATTTAACTCTTTTGGGATCAAGCCTACAGGAACCTACCTCCAGAAACCCCAGAACTGGCTTGGGCTACATCTGCCATGATTACTTTGGATTGTTACCCTAAATCTAAGGCAACCCCTTGGGTCTAGTTTGCAGATGCTGACTGGGTCCTGGTTTGGGACTGATCTCTAAAGGGGAAGGGTAGGTCAGAAACTACTGGTTTCCTCATATTTCCTTACTGTAATTGCTTGGACTATCTTCCTCTTTTCCATTTATTTTCTAGAGTTTATCTTAACGAACAGGGGTAATAGGATTGTCGACTGGGGGAGGGAGTAGGTTATGGAAAATCTATGTATGAGGAAGGGTTGGGGGGGCGGATGAAGAGGACTCATTTGGACTCCCACCCTTACTTTACCTAAAGCAGTCCGGAAAATCCAGGTGACTCAACTCTAGTGTTATTTGTGCATGCATTTGAGGATGTCATTCCCTCTCCCTACATAAATCATTTACATTGGAGAGGTCTCAGGTTCCAGCTGTACTTTAACCAGGTTTTTTAGTTAATGTACACTCTATTCACACACACTTCTGCTTCCCATTCCTTATCCTTCATCTGCATCCTGCCCCGAACTGAGAGCTATTATATTTCTATGGATCTGGGTACACATCTAAATATCATACATAGTTATTTTTACCTGTCAAAAGGTAGTTTCTGTGACATTAGAATGACGATTCCTACTAATTCTTCCCTTTAACTTTCATAGAACTTTATACTTACTATGTAATAATGACCCGGTTTATTTTATACTCTAGTTGTTTATACATACATTTTATTGTATTGCTCTTACTAGATTGTTGAATTTCTTTAAGGCAGGGACACATGACTTATTCATCTTTGTAGGATGGAATAGCCCTTCTCACTCTCTAACCCCCTCCTCAATAATATGATATTTATCTATAAAGAAGGAGTTGGGTAGATATGTGATCTATCCAACTTTTCTTAGTCTCTGTTTCATATAAGTTGACTGGTATCTAAAAATCTTTTCTAGTTTTAAAATAAACAAACAATGCCTTAGGTTGACAATTATACATTCCAGAGTATTATTTAAGCACGTGCTAGCTTAATCACACTGCATAATTTGAAAAACAAAGTTTAGTCTCAAAAAAAGACAAAAATCAAAGGAAGAACAATAGCATACAGGCATATCAGAAAATACATTGAAGAAATTCATAAGGCGTTATTTTAACTGATTTGTGATAAAAAAAACTAGCATTATTTTTTTTAGAGTTCATGGTAAGAGCAAAAATGTATTTGATGACTTGTCATCCTCATTTGACTGATGAAAAACCTAAAGACTATAATGACATAAACAGAAAAAGGATTTTTAAAAATCATTTGAGTACTTACTATGTGCCATGAACTGTTTTAAGTCTTTTACATGAAATGACTCATTTAATTTTCATAGTATACCAATGACAGAGGCCAGGGCAGAGTCTAAATTTCTAGGCATTCTATATCAGAATTAAATAATAAAATACAAAATAAAACTAAATTGCTTACGTTGTGTTAAAGTTACACAGTAGTGATTTCTAAGCACAAATGATTATAAAACATATAAGCTGTTTGTCTTTAGTAATACACTTTTTTTTTTGAAAGATTTTATTTATTTATTTGACAGAGACAGAGATAGCGAGAGCAGGAACACAAGCCCTGGGAGTGGGAGAGGGAGAGCAGGCTTCCCGCTGAGGAGGGAACCCGATGTGGGACTCCATCCCAGGACCCTGGGATCATGACCTGAGCCGAAGGCAGACACTTAACGACTGAGCCACCCAGGCGCCCAGTAATACACTCAAAGTATTTTCTTAGCTCAAGAAAGTTCTCAAACACTATTTCACTGGATTAATACAAATAGCTGGATTAAAACAAATTATATAATTTTAAGTGTTTGAAACTTTAAATATATATATCAATTTCAACATATCTTTAAAATCTTATTTTTATTACCTCTCAACACCCTGAAAAACGTTACTACATAACAGTAGCAAAAATTCTAACAGCAAAATCAGGAAAAAAAGAGCTTAGTTCAGTAGCTAAAATCCTTTTTTTTTTTTTTTTTAAAGATTTTATTTATTTGACAGAGAGAGACACAGTGAGAGAGGGAACACAAGCAGGGGGAGTGGGAGAGGGAGAAGCAGGCTTCCTGCTGAGCAGGGAGCCCGATGTGGGATTTGATCCCAGGATCCTGGGATCATGATCTGAGCCGAAGGCAGACGCTTAACGACTGAGCCACCCAGGCGCCCCCAGTAGGTAAAAATTCTTACTGTGTTATTAATTTGGGAATAAAATCCAGAATCTCTATTTTTTTTCTTGCCAAATAACCATATTATCTTTCTTCTGAATACGCACAGTCTCAAGGAACAAATTATTCTCTGCAATTTATACATCTACCCTAAGTGGGGAGTTCAAAGCATATAAACGTTTCTCATAGATTAGCTTTTATTGTAAACACCGAAGTAATTTTCAAAGCTGCTTTTCTCCTTTTTCTGCCAAATGTTTCTGTTTAATTATATTATTAAAGTGAATTCTGGGAAGCCCCTTGGCTTTAAACCTGTATTTAACTGAAATATTGATAAAAATAAAAATAAATTTAACTTAAGCATCATATTTTATAAGATAACCTTGAAAGGGATTTACCAATTGAGGTACAACTATTAATAGTTCAAAGAAATTATATTATCTAGGTTGCTTGTAATGGAAGTTGGGTTATTTGCTTCACCTAAACGGGGAAGTTGGCATGTTTGCCTAGCAACAGCCGCTAAAACCTTCTGTTGTGGAAAGTTCCCTAGGAGGGAGAAAGAGGGAGGAGGAGGAAAAACAGGAGGAACAGATTAATGTTTTTCCTAGCAGGGGAATGAGGTCCGGCTCATTGAGGAGCGAAAGGCTATGCAAGAGATAGATATCCTTTCGATTCGCATACACTAACCTAATCCCTCTGTGATAGCTAGAAGTTAATTCTTTGTAGGATTGGGGTTACTACTGAGTAGGCTGAAGGGAATGTTACAGATTTAGCCCACTTCAAAGGGAGTAAATTCCAATCAAAAGCAAGACATCAATAGGTCTTCCAAAAAGAAGCTGCAACCTGAGTAGCAGGAGGGTGTCCGCAACTAAAAAGACCGCCGCTCAGAGTTTGGGAAGGTGTGTGATCTGTTCCACAATTATTATAAAACATTGTTATAATGATTGAATTTATTGAGTTAAAGGCAGGAGCTTCTCTAAATATAGTCCTGTTCTTGGTACTGGTGATGTCTGCAGTGAAGAAAGGACAGGAGAGCGAAATCTCTGCTCTCTTGGCCAAGAGCTGAAGCAAAAAAGGGAATAATGCAGAGGAGTATTAACTGGGTGTTTATAGGAGGACCATCTCTATTCTAGACGATTTATCTTGAAATTTGGACTGCATGATACGAGGAGAATTCCGTTTCCCTTAAAGCACGGGTTTGGTGAAGCGCGACTGTCTAGAAGGGGTCTCCCACTACCCCAAATCAAAATGGCTTCTTTTCCGTAAGGGAGAAGAAACTTTCAGTCATCGCAAGGTTAGGTTTTAGACCCAGGAACTGTTCCGTGGCCGAATCTTTCCGTCCCCGTCTAGACGGCCATCATCGTTCGCTTAGGCCTGGAGAGACGTTTTGGAGCAGGGAGTGTCCAGGCCCTTGGGCGGTTTCGCCGCGTTGGGAAGCTGAACTCTTTGGAGTCGGTGAGAGTGGTGTCCAGAGCAAAGCTGGTGTGATCCAGAACGCGGATAACACAAGATAAGAACAAATTCTTTTGGGGGGGGTGGGGGGGTTGTGAAAAGGAACCGGAGTAGAGGGACGAGGGCTGAGAAAACCTAGGGGTAGAGGGAGTGCGGGGTTCGATGGAAACGTCAGAAATTTCCCAATGCCCCCTCGCCATCTGGCCGCTCGCCGCGGGCCGCAAAGATGCTGGTGGGGGAGGGCCGGCGGACGGCTGGACCAGTTCGGCAGCTCCGGGCGTGGGTGCGCCCCGCGGGTTGGCGGAGAGCGTCGCGGGCCTCCCTCCCGGGCGTTGGCTGCGGGTGACTCAGAGCCTTCCTCCCGCGGCCGCCCCGCCCCTCCCCTCCGCGCGCCCCGCCCCCCGAGGGAGGGGCCTCGCCCTCGTCCCCGCCCCAGCCTCCGGGGCGGGCCGGAGCCCGAGGAAGAGGAAGGGGACGAAGACAACGAGCGACGGGGCGGAGGAGGAGGAGGAGGAGGAAGAGGAGGCCGACCAACAAGATGGCCCCTGCTGCAGGAGCAGCCTCAGCAGCAGCAGGTGGGAGGCCGGAGGCGGCGCTGGCGGTGGCGGCGGCGGCGGCCGTGGCCCGGCGGCCTGGGACAGAGTCAGAGTCGACGGTGGCGGCGGCGGCGGTGACGGCTGCCGCAGCAGTGGCGACGGCCGCGGGGACTCGGAGCTGAGAGGAGCTGCTGCTCGGACCAGCGCGGTGAGCGAGCGGCAGGCGGCGGCGGCGGCGGCGGCATGGGGAGTGCGGCAGCCGCCGCCCGGCCTCCGTCGGGAACAATAGGCAGCCGCGGCGGGGAAGGGGCCGTCCTCGCCCGCCCTCCGCCCCTCGGCGGTAGCGGCCGCCCCCCCCCCCCCGGCCTCAGCCCCGCCGGCGGCGGAGGGGCTTGTCAGCGCCCGGCGTCCTTAGGCCTCAGGCCTCGGAGCGCGGCCGGGAGGGCCTGGCGGGGAGGCTAGGCCGTGGGGAGGTGCGGACGCCGCCCCGGACGAGGGGAGGGCGCGGGAGACTTCGGCCGGAGGGAGGGGGCCAAAAGGCCGCCCAGCTCGGCGGTTACCCCGAGGGCCTCGGCGGGGGGAGAGTGCGCGCAGGAAATGCTTTTTGGACCCCCGGTCTGTGGGGGTGGGGAGGTGAAGGCGTCTGTAAACTGGCACCGCCTCCGCGTCCCTGCACTCGCGGCAGCTCCTGCACCTCAGGGCTGCTCCCTTCCCTGACCCCGTAAGCGCTCCCCTTCCTCGGCCCAGTGGGTTTCACGGAGTCTATTTCCCTGAAGCTCCTGGAGATCGAGCCAGATGGTCTTCTTTCTTCCTGATGGCGATAGGGAAATTGTGTGTGCGGGTGTCTCTTAAGAAAAAATTAAGTGCAACAGCAAAAAACATGCAACGTAAAACGCGATTATCGATAAGGGATGGGGAGGGATGGAGGGCTGAGGGGTGTTCTTAAAACATCGCTTGGCATCAGTTCTCTCTAAACATCAGTGAGAGTGAAACAAGGGCTCTTTTGGAGCGGTAATATAACTCTTGACATCCCAGAATAGTCCGTGAAACTGGAAACAAAGCCACTAACTGGCAACGCGAAGACAAATTGTGATGTTTGAATAGAACCTTTCTTCAAAGGAACCGTTTTTGTATTAATGTGCCGCATAACAAACAACAGCATTAGCCCAGAATGGACCCAACGAAGCATTTCTTCAGGAGAGAAGTGGTTCATCTCCAGGCTAGAACTTCTTGTGTCCTGTCTCAGGTTCTAATTTTTGCCTTTCAGAAATTTGTTCTAAGACTAACCTTTCCTTTGAGTTTGATACTTGATTTCTAAAGCAGACTTTAAATAAGATTTCAAAACTTTTTTTATGACTTTCAAAAACTAGAAACAACAGTTCTCTTTTGAATGTTTAGGCTTTTGGGGAGGCAGCTCTTTATTGCATTTGCCTTCTGGTAGTAGTGCCTGTAACTTCAACAGTTAACTGCGACTACTCCTAAATTTAATTTTTTGAGACACCTATCTCGTCCATTTCCAAGTGGGGGCAGGGGCAATGATTCAAGTTATTTCTATTCCAGTTCCTACCTAGGTGTGCAGAAATTTATATTAAAATTGTTTGGATGCATCCAGGAAGATTGCTTTCTACTATTTAACATTCAGTTGCGTGGCCCATCTAGTTTGTGTTCTTAAAAGGAAGAGTGACCTGTGCAGAGAAGATGCCAGTTAATATCTTGCATCCATTTTTAGGGTAAATTTCTACTTAGATTGTCTGTGTTGTAATTCGAAGCATGTGAAATTTAATGAGTGGAGCTAGTCCTTAATTCTTTCAAGAGAATTGACAGTAAATACACTAACAATCGAATAAACATGGAGGTTGAAGTATTTTATTGTTGTTTAGAATTGAAGTATAGTGGAAAAGTATGAATAGCTTTCATTTTATGCCTAGCATAAATAATGTGGCTGTTTTGACTTTAAAGTGATGGGGAAAGAACAACTTTCACATGGCTCCAGCTAATGTATCTTCAGAAAGTACACTTTTTTTTTAAGTGCTCAAATCCATAATTTTTTCAATGCTTAATTTTGTTGGGTCAGCACAAAATGCATGTAAAGTCTATGTTGTAATGATGCTTATATTTATCTGTGACCCTAAACCTGTTAGAATGTACAGGTTTGAAAATTGTAAATGGTTAGTTTGCTTTGTACAAAAAAAAAATCTCATCTTGTGTGAAGGACTATTTTGCCTCATACTTAATACCATTTTCCTGAAAAACAAAAGCTTTTTTTAAATCTTAAAAAAACATTTATTTGTCAGAGAGAGAGAAAGAGAGAGAGCGAGCGAGCACAAGCGGGGGTAGGGGCAGGCAGAGAGAGAAGCGGACTGCCAGCTGAGGAGATTCAGGGACCTGATCCCAGGACCCTGGGATCATGACCTGAGCCAAAGACACTTAACCTACTGAGCCACCCAGGCGTCCCAAAACAAAAGATTTTTAAATGTTAAGGTTTTGTATTTGAAATTAGATGTTGACCCAACAATTCATGGGTTGGGTCTGGGTCCCTAGAGAGTTCTGGCTTTAATAGGTGTCAAAACTATTTTAAGATATGATCCCTGCATTTTCATATTTTATCAGTGTTTATTCCCATAATTTCAGTTTCTCAAGTAATATTTAAGAATTTCCTTGTAAGATTTTGGAACCATAGCTTAAGAATTAGATTTGCATTTTCTTGGTAATATTAAAAGTTAATATATATTTGATTAATTTGAAGATATTTCAAAGGGTTTTTTGTACATAAAAAATTTACAGTTTTTCAAGGCATCTTTGTTGAATGAGTAAAAACATTCTCATTTAATCCTCCTATTTAGGCTGTAATATTGGTGGTATTGTTCTCACTTTATATATGAAGAATCTGAGGCTAGGAGAAGCTATGTAACTAGCAAAAAGGCCACATAATTAATAGGTGAAAGAGCTTACTCAAACCCAGGTCTTGTGGCACAAATGAGATGCTTTACTACTGCCACCATGTGTCTCAAGGTTTAACTTTGAAGCCTTTCCTATGTTGACAGATTCTTATCTGTTTTGATCAGGAGCTATGCTTTGTAATACTGTACTTGCCTTTAGCCCTAATACCTTTCTATTAACATTACTTATACACTGCCAAATATTCACTTATAAATTTGAGAAAGTATTCATGTGAATTACAAATGAAACATTTATTTTTGCTTTTAGCAAATTTTAATGCTGTTGATACAGAAATTCATACCATTTACATAGGACAGATTTATGGTATTGCTGTAATGGTTTCATGGTTTTAATTTGCTGTGTAAACAGTTACTAAATTGTGCCTTTGAAATACTTCATGGAAATTTAAAAATGACTTTAGTAACATTTAGGGATGTTCAAGTTGGGCCAGCTAACACTTGAAATTCTTCATTTATACTTTTTTAAAGCCATAAACCATTTAGAATACTGCACCATTTTTTGTCTCTAGATCTTGGGGTTCTACCCTTGGATATATCTTGAGAGTGGTTGGCACTCAACAAAGTGAAGAATACACTGATAAATGATCCTGTTTGGTGGATACCTCGGAGCAAGATGTTCTTTGGCAGGGTATACTGACCTGGTTTAGCTTTGGCCCTGTCAACGCTCAGGAGTTCAGGTATTCTTTGGGGTTAGATTCAAATGGATTTAAATTCTCACATTGGCCTGCATCAAAACAGTCATAGTAGATTTCAAAATCAGCCCGTTCTTGTAGGACGCTTTTGAAGACCTCCTTCTCTTGTTTAATCCTGGAGTCTAGGCTGGATTTGGACTAGCCTTGGAGGTTGTTATGCCCTAATTGATTTTGTCTGGAATAATACAAAGGAATTTTTCTTATTCCAAAGTTTCTTAAATAGATTCTATGTATTTTTAAGTGAGCAGTTTACTAATCCTAAATAATGTTTCCCTACATCCCCAAGACAGTTAACTTCAGCATATTTATTTATAGCCATTATTGGTCAGACTTGTGCCTGTTCACTTCTTATATAATATTCTTGTTTACCGTTTATGTAATATTAGACACTTCTTATTAGTTCACAATGTTTTCCTAATCGGCTGAGGTTTGGGGAAAGAATTCTAGTAAAAAAGTTGAGTTGACCTTTCATGCACAGTTGAGCTGACTGAAATTGTGACCTGCTCTAGAGGAATAAATATTTTAAGGTTCATTTATGTTTTTCTTTGAGATTATTAACAAATACATGTCATATGTCAGCAATATTTTGATGTTAAGCATTTTAGCACTGACATCAGTACTCAGATCACTGATTATTACTGTGCATATATGGGAATAATTTACCTTGTAATGCATCTAAAAATCTCCAGGATCTAAATAGGTAGGAATGTTTTCGAAGAAGAGTTCTAAAGGGGTCATTATGTGTATATATATACACACATATAATATATATATTTATTATTATTATTATATATCTTAAACAATTTTTAATTAAGGTTCAGGTCATTTAACATAAAACTAGTAATTTTATTTTATTTTATTTTATTTTATTTTATTTTTTTAAGATTTTATTTATTTATTTGAGACAGAGAGAATGAGAGAGACAGAGAGCACATGAGAGGGGGGAGGGTCAGAGGGAGAAGCAGGCTCCCTGCCGAGCAGGGAGCCCGATGCGGGACTCGATCCCGGGGCTCCAGGATCATGACCTGAGCCGAAGGCAGTCGCTTAACCAACTGAGCCACCCAGGCGCCCTAAAACTAGTAATTTTAAAGTAAGCAGTTCAGTAGCAGTATATTCACAGTGTTGTGCAACCACCGTTGTCTAATTCCAAAACACTTTTATCACCCCCAAAGGAAGCTCTGTACCCATTAACCTGTTAACTCCCCATTTCCCCCTCCCCCTGGTCCCTAGCAACCACCCTTCTACTTTCTGTCTCCGTGGATTTAACATAAATGTATATTGAGTCAAGATTAAGGAGCGGTACTATGTATAATTGAAACTGCAGAAAAAAACTTCAGGATATGATTGTTAGGAATCAAAAACCACCTCATTCTTTGCATGCTTTTCTTGAGTACAGTAGGCAGACTGCCAGGGACTCTTAATGGAAGAAAAGTTGAAAGCCACAGCAATTTGCAGTTTTAATTTTGATCATTCCAAAGGAGTCCTACTCAAACTCTCAGACTCATTTGTATTTCCTTATTGGGTTATGAGAATTAACTAAATTATAATGTTCTATA